GGGGGGAAACAACCTTTGCTTACCTATCTATGATGACTGCATTTCATGGTAAGATCCTACAAAAAGTTGGGGCACATAAGTGGCAAGCTACGTCAGTGACAGCATACTAAGCAGTACTACCAGTATTAAAAGTGGTTACTGATGCTAATAAAGAGCACTCAAAACTGCCCCACTGCAGTCCTTTGGATTACTCATGCAAGAGAGTGCTCATAACTACAAGCAAGGATTGCACCATCTAGTGAGCCCATCACTTCTGCCAACTGCCCAGTTTGCAGAGCAGTCCCCATTTCTACCTGTTGTTTCAAGTTGGAGGCATTCAAATAATAATGGGAACTCAAAACTGAATGCTCAGACTCATGCTACAGCTGCTAGGGCAAGAACCTGGGAGCTGTATTTGTCACAGGTCTTCCATGGCTTGTTTTCACCTTGTTTCCTGGCAGGTTCTCGTTAGCTTTTCCCCGGCAGAAACAATCACTCACAAAAGTCTGAATACTGTTCCCCTGCCAAATCTCACACTTCGAATCCCACCAGATTTCTGTTCTTTTTTAATATTCACTGCTCATTCCCTCAATAACTACAGCAAGCTCAGGACCTGCTCTGGGTGTCCTATCTAGCTTGCTGTTACATCACCAGGGATTCTCTATCACCAGCAGCCACAGAAGAATTAATAAAACTTATGGTTAGCAAAAGTAATACTGCTCTGCATGTATGTGACACTTCTCCAGTGGACATAAATATAGACAGAGCAGGGGACCTGCAGAATGGCACAGGTTGTTCACACGATGCCGAGGGCCAGTGGGAGAAGGCAGAGTGGTGGTTTCAGGAAAAACTAACACATCCACAGACTAAGCTGGGAACAATGAAGAAATGAGGGAGTGAGATGACAAAGCCAGTGGAGGGAGTTAAAAGAAAGATGACATGATCAAATTGACGGGTGAAGAGGATGGCTTTAATGTCTGTTGCGTGTGATGGATGGAGGTTGGTGGAAAACAAGTACTGTATTTGGGAAGAAGGTAGGGTAGACATGAACTTTATAGACTAACTAAATAAGCTCCCTCTCTCTCTATACATATACACATACATGCATATACACATACATAGACAGGCAGACCTCTTAGCCAATCAGCAGCAAGGGGCAGGGGGGAGAGCCATCCTCTTGGCTGATCCCGTATGTCCTGGCAGCCCCTGCTACCCTATGGACTGTACAGCTGGGCCACAGCAGCCATGAGGACCACTGGCTTGCACTGGGTTTTTCAAATGGGCATTTCATTTTTGACAAGTTTCTTTCTTTCTCCCTGCAGATTTCATGGACATTGCCCAACTTCATGATTTCTGTGAAACCTGAGACATCGCAAATTGAGTAGGTCCCTACTTACAACCTGTATCTGTATCCTTTACTAACACTATTTGCTACATGTTTAGACCCCAGTTTCTACACATGAGAGAAGGAAGCACCTATAAGTAATGATGCAAAGACACCTGGGATCTGTGCAAGTAACAATGTCCCCTTGCTGTTCCCATGTAGGGAGGCTTGAGCAGGGGTGTCAAATATGTAGCCACAGGCTGAATCCAGCCCACAGCCATGACTTCTGGCCTATAAGACTCCTGGAGGAGTCAAGAATCCTGTGGCAGAACAAGCAGCAGCATTAACTCCTGCACCTCCTTGACCTGATGCAGTGGTTCAGGGAGCCACAGCAATTAATGCCATCACTCACCCTGCCATTGGGGTGTACCAGTGCTCCTGCTGGGACTGAAAGCCAGATGTTCCTGGCTAAAGGGTCTTGCCACTCTGTTCTGGGTCAGACTGATCACCATATTTGGGGTGAGGAAGGAATTTTACCCCATGGTCAGACTGGTACAGACCATGGGGGTTTTTGCCTTCTCTTGGTAGTGGGGGGCATGGTCCTTTACCTGGGATCTCACAAATATATATTAATAATCTTTTAGAGAAGCAGGACATTGGCTGCCGTGGTTCTCCTGCTTTACCTGTGCCAGGTTAGGGTGTTATGTGTTGCGTTGTGTTTGAGTTGGTGGTAGTCTTACAAAGTTTACATTCTGGATCGTATGGGATGGTTTAGATGGGGATGATCCCGCCTCAGGCAAGGGGTTTGACTAGATGACTTCTGGAAGTCCCTTTCACTATTACTACTTTATGATTCAACAAATTTGCAAGTACAGAGTCCCTCTGAGGACTCATTTCAGTGGCAGCAGGGCTAGTGACAGTGGTGTTAACCCCCACAGCTCCCTGCTACTGACATCGTTCCTCAGGCAGTTGTGGAGATTAATGTCATAGCTGCTTGCCTCGCTACTGGAAATGGGCCCAGATCCCGTTCAAACTAATATCGTGACAAACTCGACCATTGGCAGCATGTGAATGGCTTCTACTGACTGCATCATGAATGGTGTAGGCAGCGAAGGATCCAACTTGGGCCCTTATTTCTTTTCTTCCAGCACTTGCCAATGACATTATGATGGTGCAGGAAGTGACAGTGATCCCGTGCCTGAATGGGAGTCATGTTAGAAAGTGAACAGAAATTTTTGTTCTGCCTTCCAAACGGACAAAAAGAGCACAAAAAAGAGCAAGTCATGGCTGATTTACAGACTCAAACAAACATGCTCTGTTGAGGGACTCTTCTACTTCTACCACGTGTGAGAAAGCAAAATGATGTAAACCTTCTACATTTCATATCCAAAGAGTAAGGTAAATCCAACTTGGTAAAAAATAAAAATGATTGCACCTCTGAGGCCACCTCCACGTGTATAGATAAAGACACAATGGGATCCAATACACGATTCACACAATCACACCTCCTGCCACGCCACATGTGCATGGCAGGTGGCACAATTCTGGGATCTGTGTACTAGATCCCATCATCCCTTACTGCCAGTGCAGGGGTGGCTGGGAGCCTGAACTGGCAAGAAGCAAGCTTTTGCAGCTGGGAGCCCCCTCAACTGACATGCTCCCAGCCATGGGGTCAACCCACACTCCCTGCGGCTGGAATATGGCTGCTGTGGCAAACTCCCTGCCCCAGATGCGTGAAACCCCCAGGGGGCTGGGACATCGTAGCCACACCCTGTGGCTGCCAGGACCCAGCTGGGTCCCTGCACTGGGAGGCACACTGTGCAGACCCAGCATCTGCAGCTGGTGGGGCTAAGAGGCACAGTGGTTGCACAACAAGCAGCCCCAGCTGGACAAGTTGCACCCCTGTGGCTGGTAACCCACAGCTGGTGGGGCTCCCAGCCACAGAGGAGACCCTGCTACACATGCAAACTAAAGCTTGACAGCAACCACCTATAAAGTCAGTACACATTTTCAAGGTCCAACTTTATAGCTGGTTGCAGCTTTTAATCATGTGATAGCTACTTGGCACATTAGCTGGTCTCAAGTTAATTGTGCAATTAACCAGTTAACTGTGTGATACCTGTAATGTGTAGAGGAGGCATCAGAACAATACCATCACATAAAGCTTATATGAAACTAAAAGCCTTTGCAAGAGACCATGTCACCTGAGTGTCCCACTGGGAAGCTGTCCAACTGGAGTCCTAAACACAAGTGCTTACCAAGTAGAGTGAAAGCATGCCTAGTTTTTTCAAAATCATCAGCATCATCCACCCCGTCGATAGATGTGTCACCTCCCTGAGAAGTGTAGAAGAAGTCTTCAGCACATGCTAGGAACAAAGAGAACACAGAAAGGACACATCAGCAAAGACGGTAGGCACATCACCTGCTGCTCAGCCGTTAGTTGTACATATGTTAAAACACTACCTTTGGAGTCATCCACACTGTTTATATCTAGAAGGCAGATGGTCTTCTTTAAATTAAGTTCTGCTCTGAAAAGTGACTATGTAAAAATAACTCATGCGAGCACAATCAGATCTGCTTGCTTCAGGGGTAAAAAAAAACAACCACTTGGCTTATTACAGATACCTCTGCAGATCCAACAGAGCTAAGGGAAAGTGGGGTGGATTCTATTATCTCAGATCTAGCAACGTGATTGTTCACTCCGGTCCAAACACTTACAGGTGGGCAAACTCCGTACCGGGTCACAAATAGGTCACTAAGGGCAGGATTTCAGTCTCCACAACAGCTTTATTGCTGGGGACAGTGCACAAGAAGGAAACAACCCCCCATGACTTCAAAATCCCCAGTTGAGTTTTTATGTTTTGGGTGCATAACATCCATCAGTAATAACATCCAGATCCTATGCAGTGCTTTTTTCTCAAGATGCTTTGTAAAGAATGTTAATATGACTACATTTTTAGAGATAGGGAAACTGGCAGAGCCGTACCGAAAGTCACACCAGCTAACAGCCGAGCTGGAAACAGAAGGTCTGGGTTTTAAGTCACAGTTCAGTGCCTGACTCCATTGTCACCAACCACGATACAGAAATCTGACCCAGACATGGAACAACACGTTCCTGGTTTTCAAGGATTATTTTTCAGCCTGGAACCAGCCATACTTTTATTCAAAATGTTGTATAACCTGGAACCACTAACAAAGATTTACTGTCTATTCATGAGAGGATATATCAAATTACACTGCCAAAACCTATGCATAACCTATATTTACAGTTACTTATCTCCAATTAGCAAAAAATCTTTTGCCCATTTAACTAGTCATCTGATTAACTTTCCTTTGAGACACAGAGCCTTGCAATAAAGCTTTCTAACCAAAAAAAAAAAAAAAAAAATGGAAATTATTTTAAAAAGCTAAGTGAATATTCATGTCTTCCTTACCACCTAAACTGTGCCAAAAATTTAACAAACAATAACTCCAAAGCATAATTACTTCAACTAGAAGCTTTGAGGCCTACGTAGATAGGCATAAATGATCCAGAGATTTGCCAAGCTCTTTGGGCAACTGGCCAGAAGTTAGCACAAACCCTGAACTGAATTTGGGGTTTGGTGGAAGCCACGTGAAAGGTGCTGGTTGTCAACTGAAAGCCATCCTATCTTCAGAAGTTTCATACTGAAGGCTTACATTGTTATAACTAGTGAAGGTAGTTTAAACGCAGATGCTCTAAAACAGTGGTGGCATGGGTGAATGGTGCCTCCCAAGTTTTGGGGGGGGTCACCAGATCCCCAATTGGGGGGGGCTCCCCCGTATCCGGTCGCTGAACATGGAACCACCAGCAGCAAAACCGGTGAAATCAGAAATGCACTTCCACCGGCACTTCTGGTTTCATAGCGGGCACTTCCAGGGGGTGCAGAGCCAATCTCAGGGGGTCCACGCGCACCTGCATGGTGCACCCCCTACACGTTACCAATGAGTGACAGCCAACCTTTCTAACTGGTGTGCCGTAAGCCAAGCCCTGATGCTCCTAGAGTGCTGCTCTCATCCCTGCTCCCACCAGACATGTACCTGATAGATTTTATACCCCAGGGCACTGGAATGGAGGCAGGGGGTCCCAAACCTCCAGTTATGCACAGCAAGGTAAAAGGCATCATAGGTTATTGCTCCTCTAGCCCCACAACCATCAGTTTTATGTGGCAATGAGGATCCAAAGCCCTGAATTTGGCAGTGGCTGCAGGGCCAAGGAAGGGTTAACCTGGCTCTTGCCAGTGACACCTCCTTTCCCAGAAGCATCCTTCTCCCCACATACCCCCACCACCACTTCCACTCCAGTGTCTCCTTTTACTGAGTGCCTAGTATTTACATATCGCACACGGTGGCTGTCTATACCACTTGTGGCACCTGTGCCACAGGCTGGCTACCCTGATCTAAAAGATGGTTCCTGTGCTATGTGAAAGTGTAGAGTTAAGTGGTTCCACCAGAAACACCATCACAAAAAGTTCAGGTCTCACAGTTGGAGCTTGTAGGTGATGGCGTATCTTGAGCAGAGCTCAGCGGTAACTGAACACACTCCTGTATTCTTGCTCTGTACAAGAGATATGCAATAAAAACTCAGGGCACCAAAGACAGCAAACGTGTTGTTTATTTCTCAGAGCCAGGCTTTGTTGGAAAAATGTAAAAACTCAGCAAGAAATTCTTGGCCAGGTCATGTACTTAAATATTCTTAAAGGCTTCTGAGTAACAAGACTTCTGAAGTAAGTGCCTAGCTGGTTAGTTGGCAATTCCAGTTGTAAGTGTGATTAGAAGCACTTGCCATGTAATAATTTAAAACCTTCGACTCTTCATCCCCGTGGTTTATGATATCAAGTAGAAGGCAAGGTGGATTTGCACCTTACAGGTAGCGTGCGAGTCGCAAGCTTTTGAGGGCTGAAGCTCACTTCATCAGAATTGTAGCATCTCCATTTCTTCATAGCTTTACCCTGGGTATGTGGATCAGCTGTACCTTTAAGTTGTGTGCACGGGCACCAGCATTTCTCAAGCACATAAACAACAGAGATGCACAGGTTTCCCTAGCCACACAGGCAGTTCATTGTTAGATCACAGAAAATGAGTACTGGCAAATATAAAACAAAGTTATTTGACTGATCATCTGCCAGGTCTGCTTTGTTCCTTATGAGACACTGAGTTCAGTCTAACTTACAACATCTGAAATAACCGAATATATAATAACTCTTCCTAGGAAAGAGCTCCCAGTTTCACAAAGCTCACTAACCTGGATTAGTTTAAGGCACGGTAAGGTGGCTCCTTAGATACTAACCCGTTAGAAATGCACTACCTCTTTCTATTAACTAGTTTAGGAAACAAACCAGCTCTAAATATTTCTATAAGTTCACCCCATGATTAAGAAACAGAAGCATATAAACAGAGACCAGAAAGACTATTTCTTTTGGGGAGCCCTGGTGTGGGGAACGTCACTGAAAAAAAAAATAATAGGTCAGTGCTTTGCTCTCCCACTTCAGGTTATCACTATTCCACAACAGCATCAAGGTTCCCAGGGCTCACAGACAACACAACCAGCAGGTTTGCGTCCCAGCGAGGTTAGCTCTCCTACAGCATGGAAAAGAACACGGAGAGAAAGAGAGGTGGTACCATTGTTCTTTGTTTAATTCCAGAGAAGTAGGAAAATGCATTTCCTTTCGTCTTCCAGTCCTAACAGTACAACAACTACCCTTTGCACTTGTAAAGAACAGCACAAGCATGACGCAACCAATCTTCAAGAGACCAAGAAAAGAGGAACTAGTTCTCATTACCGGTAAGGAGATACATCACAGGTAAGGAAAACAGACCATGGTCTCACAGCAAAAGAGATGGCTTTTCACAGCATGATATCCATCTTGCTATAAAATCCCAGTCAAGCCAGGTACAATGTAGTTATTTAGCTAAATCCCATGTAAATGTATTAAGTATCGATCCTGACTAGCTATACCAGGGGTGGGCAAAATGCAGCCTGTGGGCTGGATGCAGCCCGCCAGGCCATTCTATCCGGCCCGTGGGGCCCCTAAAAAATTTAGAAAATTAATATTAATCTGCCACCGGGCTGCCTGTCATGTGGCCCTTGATGCCTTGCCAAACTCAATAAGCAGCCCTCTGCCCAAAATAATTGCCCGCCCCTGAGCTATACTGATGACAAAACGGTCTGTGCACTGGAGGGGCTAACTCAAGTCAGGTGTCCTGTTTCTAAAAAAAATAAAGGAAACATTACCGACACCCCCACCTTTTCTACAGTCAAGAGAAGCCAATGTCAGAGAAGTTGAGAAAACTGCTCAAGGCTGTGTATAAAACAAACCAGTCAGTAGCAAAGCTACACTCAACTTCAATGGCTTCGAACCTGGGAGGCCGCAGCGCTGCTCCCCGACTCCCATAGATACTGTGCTGCCCAAACACCTCCTATTCAGCTTGATTTCATGCCAATGCCCCACACATGCATAAGGAGGCACTGCTGTGACACAGACTAAATGTCACTCACTGCTTCCCTTTTCCAACGGGAAATTTTGAAACATCTGATACGCTATAAAGCTGAGAGAGCCGCGTTCAGGAGATAAATTTGAGAGAGAATCTTAAAAAAAAAAAAAAAAAGTCAGAAGATTAAAATTTAAACTCTAGAAACTTTGTCAGGCAAGAAGCATTCCCGATGGATCTTAAAACATGCCATCTCATATTAAACACTGAAACAAGCCAGGGAGACAGCTGGTGTCACACACACCCCCCCACCCATAAATCTTTAAAGCAGAACCAATCCAGGAAGGTTTCCCCTCCAGTGAAATACCTTGTAGGCTAACCTGGTAGCCACACTAGCCAATAGGAGGCTGCTCTTTCCATTAAGCATTGTCCCTTCAGACATCAAATTGAAAGCCCCCATCACAACAGCGTAAGGAAGCCTTCCCTGATCTGCCAGGGGACAGAAAATCTTTCGGCTTTTAGTGCTGCCTGACGTTAGACAGACACTGTGTTCTTTGCGATCATTGTTTAGAAGGAATTTTAAAATTTCTATTGATTTACACATGTTCCCTGTAAAGCGAGTGTCAGCAATCCAGCCTGGTAATCAGTCATCTTCCTGCTTCGCCCTGGGCTCATTTATTACTGAAAATAGCAGGCATTATTTAGCACTGCGCATTTTAAAACCAAAGCATGCGCCCTGATTGGCACAAAGTCCTCCAACACACGACTATTATATCAGCACTTCTCTTGGATGGATGGGGTCTATTGTTTGTTTCATGCCTGGGAGTCTTCTCAGCGCCTTGGCTCACCCAGGATAAGCAGGAGGCATCTGTGGGCGAGAGCACATTTTGACATCAAAAGTCCCACATGGTTTATG